CCTTTTCTCCCTCCCGTGCAGGGGGTGAGCATTGGTGCCCAGCTCCCTCCTGGGGCTAAACCACCACGCACATGTCTGCATGGCTGCACTTGAGCTTGCCTTCATGGATGGCCAAAATAGAACACTAGTATTGGCTTTTTTTGGTACCTACAGCCATCCCTGTTGAGGATGCAGCTGCTTAGAGAACAAGCAAGAGACATGCATTTTGGGAGGAAACCACATCATGCCCGCATTGCCTTTCTAAAACTTTGATGGTGGCAGCTAGTCTGGATGCCTTTCTGAGCTGTGTAATCCTTGGAGAAGGAGGCTGCTAATTAGCACTGTTAGAATAACTGCATGCTGGATAGTCCCTGGCTTCCTTAAGGGTTAGTTGTAATTATGACACTGTAGATACTCATCTTTTGTTTTGCATTTGCCGTCACAAAGCTATGCATAGGATAGAGGACAAAAATAAAACTCACTTTCTCCATAAAAGCACTTTATTTAGTGGTCATGTTTCAGTGTATATCTGTTGTCATTTAGTTGTACTGAAATGTGCTGTTAGAAATATTCTAAGAAATGTACAGTTATCACCAAAAAACAAGTTCAGTTTGGACTGCATATAGGAAAAGGAGAGAAACAAAACAAAACAAAAAATCACAACCATAATATCTTTCCCTTTGATAAAATTACCAAATATATAATGATGAACTGACAGTATTAATTGATTTTTTTAAAAAAAGTCACAGTGAACTATTTACAATAAAACACCCTTAAAACAAATAGCTATTTTGTGCCTATATGCATAAAGTGTGCGTGCCCACGTGAGGGGATCCCCACCTGCATCTCCTCCAGGCGGTCCCCTCCTTCCCTCACCCAGGAGGGCACTTGCACTGCTGTGCCCTTGGTCCCTCTAGCACAGCTGAGGAGGCCTTCAGGAGTCTAATGACAGCATCCCATTGGCTGGGGATGCTCTGTATTTATAACACAGCTGCCCAAGGACAAATTTTGGACCACAGAAAATAAGTAAATGGCTTGCTGGAAGCCTGCTACTTAACACTAGTTGTGACAGCTTTTCTCAACTATTTCTCTTTTCAGGGAAGCCCTCTGACCTTTGCAGAAGACAACATCCTCATGACTTCCCTCTCCTTGAGAAATGCCACAGTGCAGTACAAGTTGCATTCCCCTTCAAATGCCTTTTCCCACTGTTTTAATTTCCACTTATTTTCCTGCACCTCAGACAAGATGCTAAACTGAGCCTGACTCAAGGAAAACAGAGCCATGTTCATTAGAAGTAACTCCCATCACTCCCCTGCCCAGTCAATGCAGAGCCTGCCCAAAACCAGGTTTTCAAATGGGGCTTTGAGCTGCTTTTCCTTTGAAAACGGACCTTCTATTTGAAAACCTCCCTCCAGGGAGGGAAAAGCCCTTCTGATTTTACTGTTCTCTTCCTGCACCTCCATCCATCAGGCCACGTCACCCAACCTTTGGGGCAGAACTGCCTCCCTGCACTTTGGAAGCCTGCATAAACCTGCAGCAGACTCCACCCAGGACAAGTGTTCACACTGAGAGGTCCAGAGCCCAGGTCTAGTGTCAGTGTGTCTGAAGTTTTATTTCTAAGTGCACGTGGAGCAAACCCAAATCCTGTGCCCAGAACCATCTGCAATGGTTCTGTTCCCACTGTAGGCAAGCCCAGTGTCTAACACAATGTTTTCCCCCTCAGTGAACATCAGAAAAAAAACCTTCTAAAATATTACAAAAAACCTTCTGAAATATTACACATGATATGTGGTGGAAGCACTGCACAAAGAGCAGTCTTTTCTGGGTCATCTTCAGAGCACACAGGCATTCCCATCTTCATTCAGCATCTCACTTCCACCAGTCCCCACTGTTGAGTCTGAAACAAGAAGCTGAGAACAGCATCCCACTGTGCCATCTCCTCTGGCCTGGGGATGGTCTGCTCACCCACAAGGCAGCATCAGCCAAGTCTCTCTTCCTGATCACAGCACAGTTTCTCCCAAATCTGGCTTTACTGTTGGCTGCTTTCCAGGCTGGAAGAAATGACTGCCTGATCACCATAAAAGCCAGTCAGCTGGGGTCTTCCACTGCCCCATTCCAAGTCCAGAAGAAATAGCTGCTCCTCCTCACCCTACCAAATGACACCAGTCGGCAGCAAAGAAAAGGACGCAAGAAAGATGCAGTCTGATGACTCGGGAACCAGTGACTCCTGAAGACTCTTGGTGCCCTGAGAAGTCCTTTTCCCTCATCTCCTCCTCTGCAGAACAGGCTGAGGAGTGCCTGTCTCAGAGGGGCATCGCAAGGACCGGCTGTTGAATGTTTTGAACAACAGGAGTGTGGTAGAGCCACTCAGAAAGTCACTAAACATCTTGTGCTCTCTTATGCTGCCACTAAGAGGGATCCACTCCTCTTGCAGCAGACAGTTTTGGCTTTTAGTAAGACAGACGCCCTCAGAGCCCTTTGGCAATACGATCACGATTGCACATGAAAACAAACTCATCAAAAAAGTGTAAATGAGGTCATGTTTAACCCACGAGACCACACCTGCCCCCCTCCCCCTCTGCCAGAGGACAGGCTTACACCTGATCTGTCTGGTACTCTGAGGCTTCTGATAAGCTTTCGGAAAAGCTCACAAAGTTTTCTTGGTACTCAGAGCAAGTGATCTCAAACCTGTAGTGCCTGAACTCCACTGCAAAGGTGCCAAAGTAGCACAGGAAGCACATGACCAGGCCCCACTGGATCCTGGAAGCATGCATGTGAATGCCCTGCACCATGAGGATGAAATCTGCAAAAGGAAAGTCAAGGAAAACTAGTGGGAGTAGAGACACCAACCCGGATGAGAGAAGACAAGAGGGAAGATAATAAAATTTTGACAGACTCACCCAGATGACCATCAACCTAGCCAGCCACCATCAGGAGAGCATGAATGTACTGCCAAAGATGGAAGGGATGTCAAGTGTCCAACCATGCCCATAGTGCACAGCTCTCCTATATGGAGCAGGGCTTCCCGATTCCAACTGAGGCTGATAAATATTTACAAAAGGGAAGTCTTCAGCACAGAGAAGTCAAAGACTTGCTGGAACATTCAACTAGCTAGTAACAGAGCCAGAATCTGAGGTCTGGCTGTGGGGCCCTACCTGCCAGGAGCCTCCCAGCAGGAACTGTATCAGATCTCTGCACTGCAGGCAATGGGAACACCTTTCAAACTACACTTTGTTCTCTTTAGATGACCTGCAAAATTATTCCTTTCTGTGAAATGTAGAAGCATCAGCCTACACAGTTATGGCAAGTTACACTAAAGGAAAAAGAACAATGTCAGAGCCAGAAAAGATACTCCAGGCTCACATATACCCACATGCTTGGACCACATATTGCCTGGCATCAGGGTCTCGCTGCTGTGCCTCATAGTATTTTGGAGTACTCCATAAGAACAGTTCTCAGCTCCCCTAAAGCAGAAGACACTTTCCTGAGCTGGGGACCCACCCTAGCCCAGTGCACATCAGCTCTAAACCTACTGGCTCTCCTGTCTCTCAGGTTTTCTTCTGCACTCCAGGAATGCAGGATCACACATCTTCACAGGTAAAACAAGCAAAGCAGCAAGCAGCCTCTCCCGTGCTCTACCTGCACAGGGCAGGTAATCAGAGACTTTTCATCTTGGGCTTAGAGTAAGAAACCAAAGCAAACAGTACTCTGTGTCTGGCTTTAAGGATCTTCTGCTTTCCCTGTGGACAAAGGGTTCTGCACAAGCAGTATGGGACAAGGAGCCTGGCCCAAGCCTTCGCAAAGCCACTGGGGCTGGGGAATGGGACTCCTGCCTCAGCCTGCCCCCACCAATAGAGGGCCCAAGGCCTTCAGTGCCAAGTGGCTTGCTGAAAAGGGCAGGGCTGGGAGCACCCAGCATGTCTGTCCATGAGCAGCTACACCCTGGCTTACCCAGCTGCTCCCAGCCTGGCAGAAACCTCTGAAGATGGCAGCAGAGCAGAAGCCTGGCCCAGCTCCTTGCATGCAGCCCTACCCTAGGCACACCCTGAGGGAGCTATGAGCCTGGGACAAAGGGAGGAGGGGAGCACCACAAGAACCAGGCAAACTTATCTTATGTACCCCAAAGCGTGATGCAAGGCTACAAGTTTTTCTGAGGAAGTTTAAGACGTCACTGATGGTACGTCTTCACACCAAACCACTGTTCCTCTGGACACTGGCTGAAATATTCAAAACCATACAAGTGGCTAAGGAATTGTTTAAAGAACAGGCTGTTCCCTGAAGAGGTAGGCTTATTCCTCACCATTCCTAGCCATTGATGGCTACAGGCTGTTCAGAAGGGACAGGGGAGGAAGGAGGGGCAGAGGTGTGTCCTCTACGTCAAGAAATGGATAGAGTGTGAAGAGCTGTCCCTGAAGAATAGTCACAAGCAGGTGGAAAGTTTATGGGTAACAATCAGAGACCAAGGCAGCCAAAGGAACCTTGTGGCTGGCAGGATTCTGGGAACTACTGACCTGTCAAGCCTCACCTCTGTGCCTGGCAAGAGCATGGGACAGACCCTCCTAGAAGCTGTGCAAAGGTATGTGGAAGACAGGGAGGTGATTCGAGACAGCTAGCAGGGCTTCACCAAGGGCAAGGCCCGCCTGGCCAATCTATTGGCCTTCAACGATGGAGTGACTCCATGAGTGGACAAGGAAGAGCTATGGATGTCTTCTCTCTGGACTTGGGTAAAGCCGTTGACTCAGTGCCCCCAGCAGCCTTCTCTCTGAATTGCAGATATGGATCTGACAGATGGACTGTTCAGTGGATAAGGAACTGGATGGAGGGTCACATCCAGAGGGTGGTGGTCAACAGCTCGATGTCCAGATGGAGATCAGTGACAAGTGGTGTCCCTCAGGGGTCTGTACTGGGACTGGTGCTGTTTAGCATCTTCACCTATAACAGATAATGGGATCAAGTGCACCCTCAGCAAGTTTGCAGATGCCACCAAGCTGAGTGGTGCAGGTGACACACCTGAGGGACGGGAAGCCATCTAGAGGGATCTGGCCAAGCTTGAGAAGCCTGCCCATGGGAACCTCATGCAGTTCAACAAGGCCAAGTGCAAGGTCTTGCACCCGGGTCAGGGCAAGCCTTGGTGTCCATATAGGCTGGGAGACAATGGGATTGAGAGCAGCCCTGTGGATAAGAACTTGGAGGTACAGGTGGGTGAAAAGCTGGACATGAGCCACCACTGTGCCCTCACACCCCGGAAGGCTAACCTTATCCTGGGCTGCACCAAAAGAAGGGTCGAGGGAGGTGATTCTGCCCCTCTATCCACTCTGGTGAGGCCCCACCTGGAGTACTGCATCCAGCTCTGGATTCCTCAGCACTAGGAAGACATGAACCTGTTGGAGAGGGTCCAGGAGGGCCACAAAAAGGATCAGAGGGGTGTAACAGCTCTGCTACGAAGAAAGGGGTTGTTCAGCCTGCAGAGGAGCAGGCTCTGGGGAGACCTTATTGCAGCCTTCCAGTACTTAAAGGGGTATAAGACCTATACCTGAGATGGGGGGAGTCTTTTTCACAGGGCCTATGGCAACAAGACAAAGGGTGATGGTTTTAAACTAAAAGAGGGAAGCTTTAGACTAGATCTAAGGAAGAAACATTTTACAACAAGGGTGGTGAAACACTGGCACACATTGCCTAGATGAGTTGCCATTTAAGGTCAGGCTGGATGGGGCTCCAAGCAATCTGACCAAGTTCAAGATGTCCCTGCTCACTGCAGGGGGTTGGATTTGATGACCTCTAAATGTCCCTTCCAACCCAGAATTTTATATAATTCTATGCTTTTATAATTGAATTAGAACCATTCTGTGGGTACTCAGAATCCCGCACTGAAGTTTTTGATGAAGACATGAGATCTCTCATCCAAAGGAGCACCCAGCTACAGTTTTTCTGTCTCCCTTTGACTGAAACATTCACCATGGAATGAGGACTCTCATTACCTGGAGTTCAGGGAGACAAATGCCTCCATACATACTTGAGGAACAGCACTGCTTTCATCACATGAAAACTTTGTCATGAATCATAGAAACACTATGGCTGGAAAGCACCTCCAGGATCATCAAGTCCAACCTTCCTCCCAGCATCTCCCTAACCACTAGACCATAGCCTCAAGTGCTACATCTACTCGCTTTTTGAACACTTCCAGGGATGATGATTCCACCACCTCCCTAGGCAGCCCGTTTCAGTGTCTAACCACTCTCTCAGTGAAGAAATTCTTCCTAATATCTAATCAATATCTTCCCTGGTGCAACTTGAGGCCATTTCCCCTCATCCTATCATCAGTAATTTGGGAGAAGAGACCAACAACAGATTCACTACAACCTCCTTTTAGGTACCTAGCTATAAGGTCACCTCTCAGTCTCCTCTTCTCCAGACTGAACAACCCCAGTTCCCTCAGCCACTCCTCATAAGGCATGTTCTCCAGCCCTCTCACCAGCCTCACTGCCCTTCTCTGGACCCACTCCAGCACCTCCATGTCCTTCTTACACTGTGGTGCCCAAAACTGGACACAGTGCTCAAGGTGCAGCCTCATGAGTGCCGAGTCCAGGGGCACTAAAGTATAGGGAAGGTAAACTCCAAAGTTCTAACTTTGCACTCTAGGATTTATTCCTGCCCTCTTGCTTGGCCCAGCACTAAAGTTAATGTAACTATACAGTGAAGGGATCCACCCTAAACAAACACTCAGGGCACACAAATGCAGGTGCAAACAGAAGGGCTGGAGTGGGGCTGAGAGGCCCAAAGTGGAGTGGGGCCACACGTACGTTCAGCCTGAGGGACCATAGACTCCACAGCCCAAATCCCATTTGTAAATCATGTACTCTTACCTGAAGTCCTCATGACCCTGCAGCTCTTTCCTGTGATAACCGTCCTAAAAGGTAGAGCTGAATGTAGCAACCTGGAACATTTCAAACACATCAATATCTTCTCATCTTCAGAAACCTGATTTCCTCTCTTGTTCCTTTGTACTCCTGAAAACCTTAAATGCTACTGTGTAGGTAAGCAACGGTGCCACTAAATCACACATATGCTCTTCAGTATTGTTACCACTTCGGGTATCACTAAGAAGTTTTAGAAACATTTAGGAAGGAAGTGAAAAACAAGCAGACACTGGTAAAACACAGGTAGACAAATGATTCAGTCATAAGATCATGCCATAAAGACAAGTTGAGTAGCATTCCTAAATGATCCTACAATGGATGTGAGAAGAGCCAATGCTCCCTTCTGCAGAGAGACACGTCCCACACCTGGTTTCCCAGGGGGCAGAACCAAAGGATACAGAGCACCACGCAGAGGGTGATGCTGGCTGACAGGGCGACTCGTGGAATCCCAACTTTCCGTCCCTCATTCTTCAGGTTGATCTTGAGGGTGAGGGCAGACTGGATCCAGCACGCCAAGGTCCCAAAGCCAAAGGTGAGTGAGGTGCCCACATTGTGGATCTCCTCATCATTGGAAAGCTAGGAACAAACAAAACGGTGGCTGTCTGGATGCAAGAGGAATTACCTGCTGGCTACCTTGGAAAGCTGCTGCGGTGGTGTGCTGGTTTGTGTGGTGGGGTTTGGTAGCAGGGGAGGGGCTACAGGGGTGGCTCTGTGAGAAGCTGCTAGAAGCTTCCCCACCTCCAAGTCAGACCCGCCTCTGGCCAAGGCTGAGCCAAACAGCACTGGTGGCAATCAGCAATGGTGGTAGTGCCTCTGTGATAACATATTTAAGAAGGGAAAAAAAAAAAAAGAAGCTGCAAGAAAACCTGCAGTGGAGGGAGGAGTGGGGTATGAAAAACAACTATGCAAACACCAAGGTCAGTGAGGTGGGGAGGTGCACTGGAGCAGAGATTACCCTGTAGCCTGTGGCAAGACAGCAGGCTGACCCCCTGCAGCCCACGGAGGGTAATGGTGGAGCAGACATCCACCTGCAAGCTGTGGAGGACCCCACACCAGAGCAGGGGAAGAGTTTGAGGAATCCTCCCCGAGGAGGAAAAAATAGAAGAAATGTGATAAACTGACCACAATCTCCATGTGCTACTGCAGGGGAAGAGAGAGACAAACAGACAGCAAAGCTGAACCTGGGAAGAAGGGAGTGGTGGGGGTGTTTTTAAGATCTCATCATCCTACTCCGATTTGATTGGTAACAAATGAAATTGATTTTTCTTCCCAATATGAGTCTGTTTTGCCTATGATCATAATTGTCCAGTGATCCCTTGCTATCCTTGTCTCCATCCACAAGCCTCTAGTTATGGTTCTGCTCCTCATCCCATCCAGTGGGGAGGAGTGAGTGGCTGTGTGGTACTTTATTGCTGTGTGGGCCCAAACCATGACAGGCAGGACAGAGGACAGTGGGAATCACTGGGGTGTGAGACAGAGATGTTGTATCATTTCTTCTGGCAGAGGTGGTAAGGGGTAACATAATCAAGATGAGTTGACAGCTGTCACAGTCAAACAGATCTCCTGCCCAAAGCCCAAGCGCAGTGGAAAATGCAATTGCTTGAGGACTACCTCCAAGGTTCCATGACAAGACTCACCACCACAGAGCTTAGACATAAATCCTTCCCTGGCTTGATGTGATGGCCAGGGGAGGCAAGGACAACCTGCTGGGTTGTTGTACAGCTCCCCATAATGGAAGTAAATCAGCAACTTCAGTGCCAGCTGCATGGAGTGGTGCTGACTGTGGCAGAGGGTAGCCAGACCACAAGCCAAAACAGAAACATGCTCCTGGTTTGGCAAGTTTCTCCCACCAAAAACCTTGACTGCCTGTTCCTTCTCCTGCCCACCCTCAACCACTGGGGTCTGAGACAACAAGAACCCAATCTTTCTGAAGTGCAAGTACTTCTGTGTTTCTTGGGCTCCCGTCTCTCACAGGGCTCAGTGTCTGTGCAACACTGCAAGGCAAAAGGACAGCCAGGTTCAACGAGCAAGAATCTGCAAAGAGATCCCTTGAGGCTGCAAATCCATTCAAAGTCCAGCATGGACAAGACTTAAGCAAATCTCCCTTTTCCTTCTGCCTTGGAGGGTTTTGTAGAAAAGAAAACAGCAGTCCGTATATCCTCCCTGCAGCCTAGTTACTGTGTCTTTGCTCACCTCCCTACCTTGAGGGTTTTTTTTTCCCAAGGCTAGGTCCAAATCACAGTACAGGCAAAATGGGACCAAGCTGCCTTTCCCAAGATACCCTGCGCTGCAAGTGACTAACAGCCATAATGTCCCTCTAACACTGTAACTTTTCCAGAAATAAGATTTAATGCCACATCCAGTTTGAGAGTCAGGCAGGCAAAAGCATGGACTGTGCCTCATTACCACATGCTTTTATAGTTTGGCAAAAAAAAAAATCTAAGCATGGATACAGGTAACTAACAAGGAGTGGATAATTAGTTCAGAATTTATAACCAGGCATGATTCAAAATACCCACTTTTAAATTACAATAATTTGCTTTGAGGAGTGAAAAAAGGAAGGAGAGGTTTAAACTGCTTCCTAGAGCCTGCCCTATACTAGAAATACTCTTCTCACACCTAGATAAGGCTGCTACAAAGCCTCACTGTTCCCGGCTGGGAAACTCTTGTGAAATTCTTCAAATTACTTACATCCCAGTGAGAGGCAGAGCATCAGAGACAGCAAAGTGACTCTACGACCTTAATTTTCACTACAGACCTAAGAGCCACACTTGGGATCACAGCTGACACCCAGCCCTACAGGCAACGCTGTGGCACTGACAGCTTGTTTGTTTGCACAGTGTTTCAGAACAGATTGAAAATCCGACAGATTTAATCCGAGCACCTGTCACATTAGAAGTCACAGCCCTTCTCAGCTGTGTCCCTCTTGTGGTCACTCTGAGGACAAGCGGGAGCAGATTTAAACAGCATCTGTTTTAAACGAAGGACACTGAGCTGCCTGCTAAATCGGTATGGGCAGCTGTGCATCTGTTCACACAGATGCCTATGGAAGCTTCCAGCTCAGTCTTTCTACCCAGGACCATCTGCGCCAAGCCTCAGGACTCAAGAGATTCAATAGGTTGCCTGCTCTGGCTCTTGGCAGGTCAAGCGTAAGCATGCAGGTGCAAATCCTGCTGGGAGTATGTGGAAGTGGCCTTTCCTCTCAGCACGTCACTGGAACCACGTAAGTGGCAAAGAGAGGTGGCAGAGCAGGTACAAGGAGAGCTGTGGCACAGCCGGAGATGTTATCTGCTGAGCTCACAGAACAGGTAGTTCAAAGCCCTACGTGGATCTGCTAGAAAAGCAAGAACCTCACAGCACTGACAGGGAGGTCCAAGTCTGGAGTTCAGTACCTGAAAGTTGCCGAGCAGGGTCATCCCAAAAGAGGCCAAGCACAATGCTACCAGGCCGCTGACATTCAGCCAAGGGTTTAGCACCTTTGGCTTCAGCTGAATGAAACGCAGGACAGCCACGACAAGTGCTGAGAAGAAAACAGAATGCAAGGGGCATCAGTAGGCAGAACATGCTGCAGTAACCCCGTTGCTGGGGGCTCACGGACCCCTCACCCTCTTTCCAGACAGAGGGGAAAGCTCACTCTCTCATTGCTCTAGTGAATCAATCCACACCAAATCCTTGAAAACAACAGAACTTTGGTTCTCCAAAAAGGAGGAATTCTGGTTTCTATCCCCAGGTAATTGGGACAGTGACACTGTGACTACTTGACCTCACACATGCTGTGTGTTTCTAGAGGACAGGATCCTGAAATTATGTGATCTTTTCCTAAAACACTGATGGGAATGACAAAAGGAATTAAAAGGTCACATTCTGGCATTGCAAAACAACAGCATTTTCAACATGCAGTCATGTCTATGTTCCTGGCGGGTTTCTGTAGTTTTCCTCTCCTATAGCAAGGGCTTTAACACAACTAAGGTGTCCAAAGCTACAAGCTAAAAGCAGCTCTCAGAAGCACTCAATACAGGAAAGGAAAGCATGGCTTTGTTCAAAGATAGGCTGGAATGGAGTGGAAAATCCTAATTGGAAGGGACTTACAGTGGTCATCCAGTCCAGCTGCCTGACCACTTCAGGACTGACCAAAAAATAAAAGCTTATCATTAAGGGTATTGTCCAAACACCTCTTAAAGACTGACAAGCTTAGAGCATCTCTAGGAAGCTGGTTCCAGTGTCTGACCACCCTCTCTGTAAATACATGGTTCCTCCTGTCCAGTCTAAACCTCCCCTGGCACAGCTTTGAACCATCCCCATGTGTCCTATCACTGGACACCAGGAAGGAGAGATCAGTACCTCCTCCCTCCCCACTTCTCCTCCTCAGCAAGCTGTAGAGAGCAATAAGGTCACCCCTCAGCCTCCTTCTCTCCAAACTAGACAAACCCAATGTCCTTAGCCACTCTTCTCATAAGACATTCCTTCCAGCCCTTTCACCAGCTTTGTTTCTGTCCTCTGGATGCACTTAAGTACCTTAACATTGTCCTAAAATTGTGGGGCCCAGAGCTGCACACACTATGCAAGGTGACACCACACCAGTGCTGAATACAGCAGGATAATCACTTCTCTTGACTGTCTGCTTATACCATGTTCGATGCAACCCAGGACATGGTTTGCCCTATTGGCTCCCCAGGCACACTGCTGACTCATCTTGAGCCTGCTGTCAACCAGCACCCCCACATCCCTCTCTGCAAGGCTGCTCTCCAGCCACTCTTCTCCCAATTTATATTTGTGCCCAGTGTTACTCTGTCCTAGGTGCAGAATTAGCATTTTGACTTGTTAAATTTCATGTCATTAATGATTGATCTATCTAGACACCTCTGCAAGGCATCCTGTCCCTCAAGGGAATCAACAGCACCTCCCAGACTGGTATCATCAGCAGACTTGCTAATGGTGCATTCCACTCCTGAATCCAGATTGTTAAATATATTGAACAGAATTTGCCCCAGAAGTCAACCCTGAGGAACACCGCTGATGACCCATCACCAGCCACAGGCATCCCCATCTATGATAACCCTTTGAACTTTGCCCTTCAGCCAGTTCTTCACCCAACACACCATGAACCTGCTTATCCCACAGTTGGACAACCTGTCCAGAAGGATGCTGTAAGGGATAGTATCAAAAGCCTTACAAAAATCCAGAAAAACTACATCCACCAGCAGGTGACCTTATCAAAGAAGGTTATCAAATGAGTTAAACAGGACTTTCCTTTTGTGAACCCATGTTGACTGTGCCTGATGATTGCATTATTCTTTAAATGCCTTTCCATAGTACCCAGTATGATCTTCTTCATAGACCACAGCTCTTCCTTTGTGCCTGTGAACTGGAATAACACTGGCTAGCTCCCAGGCAGCAGAGACCTCACCAGACTTCCAAGACCTTTGGTAGATGGTCAGGAGGGGTCGGGTCGTAACATCCACTAGCTCCTTGAGTACTCTGGGGTGAGTGTTGACTGCCTCTGCTTTATCTTCATCTCTGTTAGTCAGACGATCATCTTCAACAAGTATCAGCCCAACATTTTCTTCAGACCTCCTTTTGCAATCGACATACTTTAAAAAGTCTTCCTTGTTGTCTGACACAACACTGGCCAGTCTCAACTCTAATTGAGCTTTGGCCTTCCATGTCTTCTCCCTGCATATACCCACTGCAGCTCTGTAATCTTCCTGTGAAACCCAGCCTTGCTTCCAGAGATTGCACAACTTCTTTTTCCTTTAGAGAGCCATGAGTTCCCTGCTCAGCCAAACTGGTCTTCTGCCCTGCTTGCTCGACTTACAACACAGTTGGATTGCCTGCTCCTGTGCTTCTAAAAGGTGTTTTTTAAAACCTGAGCAGCACTCAAACTCCTAAGCCCTCAAAAGCAGATTCACAGGGTACTTTGGTAAATAACTCCCTGAATAGCTTCAAGTTTCTCTGCTTTCTGGAAATCCAGACTAGCAACTTTGCCACATTTTTTTCCCATTATACTAAAAAACTTAAACTCAGTTTAAATGTCATGATTACTGTGGCCAAGACAGCCAACTACCACCACATCTCCCATGACACAGTTGCAGTCTGGAGGCTCCTTGGTTATATTTCATCTTGCAAGTGGAAGAAGCAGCAAGGAAAGTGTACAGTACAGCTCAGCCTAAAAAAGCTGCATGCCTGACGTTTGCCTGCCCTTTTCCACACAGCTGCTCACCCCACACTCATGCAGCTGCTACCCTCACGTCCACCCAGGTCCCACAGTGAGTGAGCATCAGGCCAAATCCTGCCCTCTCACAAAGCCCTTGGACTTGCTGGTAGGTGGTGCAGGTCCTCAGAGGCTGCTTGGAGAGAGCTGTTTGTATAAACAGGGCCCTACCTGGAGGCAGCTGAAAAGGCAGGCATGTATTCAGTACTGCCAAACTGCTCCTTTAACCTAAGAAGTAGAATGCTATGCACGTGTTGTTTTAAGTGGTTTGGGGGTTAGAAGTTTAAATCATAGCATCATAATCACATTGCACTGAGTGTCAGGCATACAAATAAAAAGGTGTGCAAGATCCTACCTCAGCACAAACTGGGGCCTGAATTATTTTTACTAATTGAGACCCTGGCTTCATATGCAAATCAAGAACTAAACTTGAAACAAAGCCATACATGGAAACAAAGTGTGAGGATGCCTAAACTCTCTAAACTCCATCCTGAAGTGATACTGAAGGAAGTTCATGTCAGTGTTCATGATTTAAATATGTTTAGATTGCCAGGTTTTACGTTCCAAGCCTCATTTTCATTGTGTCAGATTAAAATTTTTAAGACCCCGTACTTGTGCAAGTACAGGTCTGGACTAATTCCAAAGCTCAACTCAACTGAATTTCCAGATTCCTGAAAAGAAACATTGTGCCTTTCACAGGCAGCAGAAGTGGAACCCACACTTTGAGGTAAGAGCTCAGAGCAAAATTGAAAGCACAATACATTACCCCACACAGGAAATGATAAATATAAGTACTATGAAGGAGAGCAAATCTAGGTTTAAATAATGAATTATTTTCCATTTAAGTTTGGGATAATTTGTTTAAAAGATGTACATGTGAATGTAACAAATAGTTTTACTATTTTTTCAAGTACTTCTCAGATCTTTCTTCTCTTTGTGGTGTTGCCTTTTTACTTTCACTGCTGGAGAATGCTAGTAAACTTCCACAGATTTAATAACGGAATTTAGGCAGGGGTGGGGTAGGAAATATCAGGGATGATTATTTTGCATAATCGGTTGCTGCATTTGCCAATATTCCCATGCAATTATCTCACATTCATAGTGTATAACAGAACTCACCATACCATGAAAAAGTCACACAGATTCAAGGCTAAGACAAGACAACAAATCCATGAGAATAAATCAAAACCCAATAAAGTTCAAATGCATCCAGCTTCATTTCATCTTTCTACAAACAAAGGCAAAATAATACTGTCTTAATCAGTAGAAACTACGGTTTAAATGACTACACCCCATCAGATTCACAAATACGTAGGGATATTACTTACGTTTCAGTAACTTCTTAAATCAAACTATGAGAAACAATCCCCTTGGGGTTCCTACCTAGAAATGCGGCCATGTTCATGACTTGGCTAAACACACAACTTGCAGGAGGTGCATCACCTGCAATACTTGGAAAAGACAAGTTTATCATTGTAACTCTAGGATGACAAAAACACATAAAAAACAACCCTTAATCAGAAAAGTAATTGGAAGAAAATAATTCACTTACCTTATATAAGGTGGTCTTTTGGAAGCAGGTTTCCTAAGAGACATAAATGCACAGGAAGGAAGAGTCAACATTTTCTTCCCCATTTAGCATTGATTGTTTTATTATTTTAAAGAAACAAGTGTTTGAATGTAAAAATGAAAGCCCACAATCAACTCTTACCTATTTGGTACATTTAGTGGCAGAATTTTGTTATCTTCCACTGCTATAAAGTACCTGTCAAAAGAAAAAAAATAAATTATATAAAAACCTCATCCGGGCTTCAATTCCAAGTATGACTCAAACAACATATTAAGTGTCTCAAAGCCCACTGGCAGGTTCTCCTGGAGGCAGCCTGTGTTTCTCTCTGCTTAAGCTGGCTGCTCAGCTTCAGTTCTCAGCCTATGTGCCCTTCCTTTGTGCTGCATCCATTTTGCATGGTCAGGGAGACTGAACTGAGTTGCCTTAAAATTACCAACAATGGGTATGTTTTCATTTTTAATCTGAATCATTTGATTCACCTGGTCTACCACAGTCCCCTCTCTGCAAAAGCTGCTTAATACAGAGGGGATGGGACAAGAATAATAACAAGCAATAGGGGTCAAACAAATGGCTTAAATTGCTCCTGCTGCTGAAAAGCAACATCCACAGAGGTGGCCAAAGACATAGCCCACGATGTAACTGCTTCTCAGGATGAGTATAGCTGCTGAGTGCAACTTATTGCTCCCAAATTCATGCTGCAGCCATCTGCCTGCATGCCCAGAGAAATTCCAGCTCAGGGAAACATATGTCTTGTGTATGTTTCCAAAGAAGTGTTAGTGAGAAAGTGAGATGTCAGCATTAAGCTGCTGGCAGGTTGTCAGTGTGGTGCTTAATGCTGCAGATTTTGAGTTTGCACCCCAAGGCAGGGCCTAAGTGCACCTCTAAAAGCTCTGCAGAGTCGTTCAAAGAAAACATTATGAAAAAGGGAATTTTTGCATTTTTGTCTGTCTCTTTTCAGGCAGCTCCAGTAACAAGTGCCAAGAAGAACACAGGCTCAGAAACCTGGCCTGGGGAGTACAGAAACTCAGGGATACAAATGTGGTCTGCCAAGCCATGAACTGACAGAGACTGGCCCCTGCCCCTACCATGTGCCTTCCCAGCCCCACAATAACTCAAGGGCAGAGGATACCCAAAGGACTCTCCAAACTGGGATGCACTCTGCACCACAGTATTACTTCCATCTGCCCCAGCCTAACTTGCTCTCCCAAATAACCACCAGAAGATAACTTACACTATCCATAATCCAGCTGATGTAAACAGGGTAAACACAAGAGGTAAAAACATCCACACACTGCATTTCTTCCCATCCATACCTGCTAGAAACAAGGAACAAAGTAAAAACAAAAGAAAGGAGGCAGAGATACCCACCCACCTCAGCCCTCCTCCTGTGAAAGCAGGAAGAACATCCATACAGCAGGTACCAAAGCATTCCAAGATCAAGCCCCTAATGGCCAGGCAGCAGCTGCTGCACACCTTTCATACTGTTATTATTGGCATAAGGGGTTAAGCTGCTGCACAAGGGCAGCACCATCTGCATTGTGCACAAATACCAAGGCACAGAGTCTGAAGTTGTGGAGGGAGAGAGTTTTCAGACACATCTACAGGATTTGAGTGGTTTTCAAAGTATTTTCTCTTAAGTATTTTGCACAAGGTGACACTGCAAGGCCTGCATCCCTAATTCCCTGCTACCTCCCACAGGCACAAGGCAAGGCAGCCTCCTCCCCGGGATCACTACCAATTCCACACACCCTGCTTCAACAAAGCCTGCCGTATGAAGGCAGGATGCACATGCTGGCTCCTCATCTCCACACAGCACACAAGCAGCTCCCATCCCAGCCACAGCAATCAGCTAAAAACAGCACTTGGCCACACCCAGGGCAGAGCCAAGATTTAAGTGCCAGCACCCAGAGTACTGCCAGAAGGAGGCGTTAGGAGCAGGACGAGCTCCTGACTTGCAGGCCCTGGGAAGCCCTGCCCGGGGCGTAGGGACGCTGTGCCCAACACCTGCCCAGGAACACGCTGCTGTTCTGCTGCAGGCAGAGTCCCATGTCACCTCCGAGTCCTTTCACAGCGGATCCAGTATTTTCTCGTGCTCTGTCCTCCTTCATCAACGTTCCTCCAGGCACTGGCACAGCCAAGAGACGCAAACTGAGAGTGAGCAACAGGAGGTGTACGGCTCCAGCACCTGCCGCTTTCTCACCTGGGCAGCAGCACCTGCACCCTTGTGCACTGCCTCCTCTTCCTCCAGCCTCCTGTAGTGACCATTTCCTGGGGTCACGGAGGTCCCCATGGGACAGCGAGGCACCCTGGGGTGCCAGGACAGCTCAGACATGGTGGCCCGTCACTCAGAGCCCCTTTGTATTTGCAGCTCAAGTCACCTCATCCAGGTCCTTAAAGCACTGACTTCTGTTTGCTCTGGAGAAGGCGGCACCCACAGTGTCATCGTCCCCTCCTGGCCTCCTGCCATCCGCAGCACGGAAGCCGTGGGCTCTCTGGGCTGCTGCCCTCCTCCCCCCACCGTGAGGGCCCGGCCACCACCTCCTGCCCTGCCCCACAGCAGCAGAGGCTGAAGCAGTTGAAGACCCTGCAGAATCTATGGCAGCCTCATGCTTGCCCCTACAGCTCAGCTGCGTGTCTTCATTGCCTGGCAGGAGTACAAAACAGCACCCTTGCAGTACCTTGGGCCACACCACACTTGCACAAAACCATGAGGCCATGGTTTTGTGCTGTGTGTAATTTGGTGCTGTCTGTACAGATATCCTTGAGTGAGGCTGAACTGCAAAGCTTAAAAGGCAGAAAAGCAATCAGATAAGGTCTCCTCCCAGACCTGGGAGCAGAGAGAACAGCAGAGCAAGGTGCATTTTAGGGGTGGGCTTGGCTGTGTTAGGTTAATGGTTGGACTCGATGATCTTATTTTCCAACAAAAATTATTCTATGATCCTATAAAAAGTTGCAGGTATTGAGTACGTCAGTTTAAAAGGCAGCCAGCTCCAGCATGTACACAGATCTTTAGCATGGTGTAACAGATCCCAAGAAATGATCAGACAGTGGATTACATTTCCCTACCCATCTCTTCTCCCTCACAGGAGACACAGAGCACCTCACGGCTCTCTTGCATGCACAGCCCCTGCTGTAGCAGCTGCAACTACTCCAAGAAGTGTTGCCCTTGCCTTTTCCTCCCCTAGCTGGTGTTGGCTGTTGCTCGGGTACCAGCAGACCTACAAAGGCAATGTCAAAGACCAATTCCAGGTGGCAGGGCAACATTCCTGAAAAAATGCCAGCAACCCACACAAGGGAGCCACAGCTGTAGCTGAGTTCCCTGTTCCCCGTGTTGGCTGAAGGGGAGCAGGCAGGTAATGTCACCTCCTGTTACAGCCCATGTTTCCTCCACCATGTTATTACTGATAATGCAGCACTCAACTCTTCTCTTTTCTCTGATGGTGGCAGGACCAAGCTAAGGTATCATCATTCTTTCAGGTCAGCAGATGACAGATCTTATTATTTATCCCTCCCCTTTGGAAGGGTACAAAGGCTTCATTTACATAATAAAAGGAAATACTAGCCATAACCCTCGTCCACATTAATGGGTTGCCACAGCTCCTCCACCTTGCAGCATGCCTCCCAGCCAAGAAATAGCAGCCTTCACAAGCTATTTCAGCATTGTCTGTCCTGCAGAGAAAGGTGGCACAGGGCATTTCCCCCAAGCAGAGCAGCAAGGCAGTGGACAGGGATGGGGAATCTATGCCGTGATGGGGTGGGGAAATGTGAAAATGCTGTCCAGGTAAGCATTACTCTGTGCTGAGCTCGGCAGTGGAATGAGGGCAGGACTGGTGCCCAAATCAAAGTCAGTGCAACATGGCTACAGATGCAGACCCTTGGAAACAGCCCTGTGTTTAACATTCACTGTGCCATACAGAGTCCCCTTCTGTCGAGTACTAACAGCAAATGACTTCTGAAATAGCTGCATATTAAATGAATAACTAGCACAGAACACAGCATCCCAATGAGAAGTGAGGTGTGTAGTTCAGAGAAATATGTTCATTTCAGCCAGTTAAACACCAACACCTAGAGAACATACTTCTACATTCTCTAGGACAACTGGGATGTAAGGGTTGGCCCCTCAGTGCTGCTGGCCCCTGCTAGCCCACACAGGAGGAGTGAGCTGCCTATGTCTGACAGATGAAATACCAAAAGCAAGAAAGAAGGGTCCCTTTCCCCCACGTCCCCAAATGGCAACACCTTTTAATGCTGTCCATCAGCACCTCCCACACATGCTTGAAGATGTTTCAACATCCTCATGTTGGCTCAGGACGACTTAAAATCAGGACTCAGCTCCTGCACATTTCTCATTTACTTCTTGCTGTGTTATTCGGGTGCCAGGAACAAGACTACACGTAACCTCAATTCCTTCCAAAGGAGATACCCCGAGCATGTGCCAAACCTGCCCAGCTTTGCACTAGTGCTCAGTGAATATCAGTCTCAATTGCCTCTGGGTTAACCTGTCCTCTTCAGGGACAGCCCCAATGTGCATTTCTCCAAGCCAGGATACCTTCACACCTGCTAAGAAGGTATCCTGGAATGAGGAACCCTAAATGACAGCCTTCCCTGCAGCACCACAGCAGTTTAGCCAAAATAAAATGCCAAGAGCAATAGGAAAAATAACCTAAATGCTCTGTGGGAAATGTAGAAACAATTTATTTGACAGTTAATTGCTCCACAGGTGACATAAAGTCAATCTTCCCCTCCATAGCTTTGTTCTGCATTGCTGCTGTGACCAGTGATGCCAAACCTGAGCAGTCAGCTCCAGCTGGTGACACCGGCCGTCTCCACCAGTGGCACCCACTGCGTCCAGGAGGCAGCTGGGGATTGCACATGCCTGCTCATCTCCCATCTTAAAGGCTTGCACAGGCAGGCCTTCAGCAACAGAAAGCCCTCATGGTGTAACAGATTCACAGGGCTAATAAAAATGTGCTTTCAGCTTCACAGGTGACCCCAGCCAGAGTCAGCCCACTTTCCCAAACACACACACTGCAGTCTTCCAGTCCCTCCTGACTCACAGCCTCATACCAGCATCTCAAATGGGTCATCGAGGTGCACTCCTGCTGCCAGCTACCATGGGTCAAGGTGCAGAGCTGCCAAGGGTTTCACATTACTACTGCCACAGGGTGTGTCTCGAAAATTTCCTCAATGCAGACTTATCTCCACTCCCATTTTTATGTTTAAATCTGCTCAGACTGTCAGCCATTTGCTGTTTTCATTACCTTTGCCCCACTACACCCCTCAATCCTCTAATGTGCACATTTGAATTACAGCAGGCAGCTCATGACACATGTACTGCTGCTTGCTCAAGGTCCATTTAATGTGGGCATCTGAATTCCACCTGCCAAGCAAAGTTACAGTCTCTTCCTGAAGTTGCTTTCGCCAGAGCATATGAATGGAAGGAAGGGCAGAATTACCATGTTAACAGAGTCATATGTCTTTTTTAAGACTAAAGCATGCAGCTGCATTTCACGGGCCCATACTCAGGCTGCATAATAAGCCAGACCAGTGCTCCCACATTTCACAGCACTAGGCCGTTGAGTTATTTCAGAGAACAGGTACAGAGGGAGAAGCACTGAGAGGAGGACACTGTTCAAAACACACGGCAAGTCATCCAGAATTGCTGCCCGTCAGCAACGACCAAAGGGGAACAAACACGACCTATCTTTGGGGGAGCCCACTATAGCTCTCTGCTGCTTTTAAAAGCAAAAACCACAGTCATTTGATACCTAATCACTGTAACCGAGCAGATACAAACCAGGACATTACATAACCTTCCACTCACAAGTCACACATGCCAACGTAACAAAGCAGAATGTTCTCAGGTTTATCCCAAGCCTCCCAGCCTGAGCACACAATGAGAGAGATAAGGCATGCCAGAGACCTGTCAATGCCTAACAAAATAGCCAGGCAACAGGAAAAGCAGTGATTGCCTCCATCAGCAGGGTACAATGCTCTGCTTGCTCTGAGCACCCACCTACCATCTCAAGGGTGTGCAGAAATCCCATTTTCATTTATTTACCTCCTCATAAAATACAAGACACCACAGCTCTCCCTGCTTCAGCTACGCTGTGAAGAAAGAGTTACTGAAACCACCTCCTTGCTGTGCAAGTAATAAGCAAATGCAGGTTAATGTGGCAAAGCCCAGAAAGTCTGAGACACTGCAGATAGGCTGTACAGTGATCATCCTTCTTCACCTTACCCAGCCCGGTCTAACGATCGCTGCCTGAACCAACACCAAGCAGAACGTGTGTTTCTTCTCCTGTAAGGTA